TTGAGAACTTTCAGATAAATGAATACAACATTTTCAAAAGAAATGAATTCAACACATGGAGGATTTTATATATATTTAAAGAGAACACAATGACTGAGTCATCAGAATATTTGCTTTCTGACCATAAGATCTACATTCCAATCTCTCTGTAGTGAAAGTAATAATCAGGTACCCCGGAAAAAAGCTCGTGTTTTGTGTGCGATCTGCCGAAATAGCCTGTAATTGTAAGCGTTCTCAAAGCAAATTTGTTGTGTCATCCCAGCTGGAAGTGACAGCAGTCACCCTACGTTTAATAAATGCAGTTGCAATGCGGATCCACCCGCCCACGGGAAACTGTCCCACCAGCTTTCCACATAACGAAAACATGCTGCATGGGGTCATGTGTTTGGGAAACAAACTGGAAACATGCTTTACTGGAAACGTGGAAGCGAGCTCCCGGACATTACCAAGACACATAAAGGACTTGCGTCGCTACGTAGGTACAGATACGTTGACAAGTGACACTAGCAGTGAGTGCTCAGAAAGTGAACAAATAATTACCATTGGAGGTGCTAGCCCTACCTCCAATGGTAATTATTTGTTCACTTTCTCGGTCACTCACGAATGGTTCGATTTGCCGACAGTGGAGCAGACAAAAGATGGACGTACTAACGGCTGATGGAAAGGCTCTCAGAAGCCGGGGAGTTGGAAACATCAAACTCAGTATCAACAACGGTGACCCTGTCACAGTCAGTGTGTTGGTTGTGGACAGCGCGTTATTAGGTTTCGATCTGCTCCTTGGGATGGACATTATTAAGGAGCTGGGTGGCGTACGCATTACAGAGGCGGGCGAAGTCAAGTTTTCTGATCCGCCCATCTGTGCTACATTGAAGATCAACAAGCCCGACTTTAGCACAGAGTTCGACCAAAGGACGAAGACATGGACAGCATTTTGGAAATGGTTGGAAAATAACCCACTAGAAAAGCTCCAGAACTGAGTGTCAGAATATTCGGTGCCCGAATGTGTCAAGGAAGAATACCAGTGCGAATTGCAGGTGTGGCTGGATAATGGATGGCTGACTCCGTATCCCGAGGAAGAGCTTGGTCCTCCAAGAGGCTTCATCCTGTTGATGGCCGTGGTACAAAAGAACAAGGGAAAGGTGCGCCCTGTACTAGATTATAGAGAACTGAACGAACATGTAGACACATACACAGCTCATGCTGATGTGTGTGCACAAAAATTGAGAGAATGGCGAACGAAGCGATCCAATGTCTTTGTGATTGACCTTCGAAAGGACTATTTGCAGGTACGCGTGCACCAGTCACTGTGGCCATTTCAGACGGTGATCCTTAATGGGACGAAATACTGCTTAACCCGAATGGGATTCGAACTCAATGTAGTGCCGGCCATCATGAAAGCTGTGCTATCCCAGGATGAGACAATTTGTCAAGCGACGTCAGCTTACATTGACGACATCTACATCAACGAAACCTTAGTACCCGCTTCACAGGTGAGAAAGCATCTTGCTGACTTTGGGCTCAAATGTAAGAACCCAGAACAACTGGAGGATGGTGCTTGTGTGCTCAGCTTGCAGGTCAACGAGCTCCCGGACATTACCAAGACACATAAAGGACTTGCGTCGCTACGTAGGTACAGATACGTTGACAAGTGACACTAGCAGTGAGTGCTCAGAAAGTGAACAAATAATTACCATTGGAGGTAGGGCTAGCACCTCTTCAGATGGTGAAGACTCTGTGCGTGAGGTTGTCAGACCAGAAGAATCCTCAGAAGAAGAATCTTCAGAACATTCTTCAGATGATGAAGAATCTGTGCATGAGGTTGTCAGATCAGAAGAAACCTCAGAACATAACACACAATCTCCTCCAACAGTCACCCTGCTCCGGAGAAGCTTAAGAATAAAGAGGCCCGCCCATGAGTGTCACTTATGTGACAGGGGGGAGTGTAATGAAAGTAATAATCAGGTACCCCGGAAAAAAAGTTTGTGTTTTGTATGCGATCTGCCGAAATAGCTTGTAATTGTAAGCGTTCTCAAAGCAAATTTGTCGCAGATTACTTTAACAAAGCATGTAACCAGTCAGGAAAATTTGGGCATTTTTGGCTACGGCATTTGCTGGGAGAGTGACTTATTTTCCTGACTGGTTACACGCTTTGTTAAAGTAATCTGCGACAAATTTGCTTTGAGAACGCTTACAATTACACTCTCCATGGTAAACTTATCAGGGAGTTGACTCCTTGATGGTATCAGCCTGTGGTGGTGATCCCAACTTACAGTACTGTTAGAAAGTGTTTGAGAACAACACCATGTATTGACCCAAGCCTTATGAGTGAAATTAAGTATATGGAACTATTCAGAATCTGTTGATGGTTGTAAAAGAATGAAGTCATGAGTCATTGTGATTGGGATTTGAACAAATTGCCTTGTTCAAACTGTTGATGACACCAGATTATGCACTCCCTCCCAGAAACAGTAACTAACATCCACTCTGCATAGTTACAGTAAAAACCGCAGATGAGCTCTGTGGGTGTTGTACAAACATAAATGTGCCTGAGCCAGCATTTGAATCAGGTCTTGGTTAACTTCCTTACAGATGGGTGTGCACTGAAATGGGTAGCTTGCTATTATATAATAGAGAACAGCATAGCTCAGAAAAGAAGAGACAATTATATTTATGTGTGTACAGAGAGTCTAAAGAAAAACATAGCTCACTAAGGAAGAGAAAAAGAAAATTATATTTACGGGTATATATATATATATATATAACACAAAGAAAAAATAGTTCACTAAAGAAGAGAAAGAGAAAATTATATTTAAGTGTATACTGATAGCCCAAAGAAGAACATGGCTCACCAAATAATAGAAAGAAAAATTTATATTCACATGTGTACAGGCAACTCAAATAAAAAGAAGAAAAACATTTCTGGGATTAGTGTAGTGTGTGATGTTCACATGGTTTGTTTGAAATTAATTAGTTATTTTGCAGAGTAGAAGAAATCTCCCCCCACAGAGACAACTCCCAATGTTGTTGCTAATATATCCTGGAACATAAAGAGAGCAAGAGGTTTTATGTCCCTTCTTTTTATAGTCCTGAATAGAACACCACCTAACGGGTATCCAAGTTGAAGTAATTACCTATTGAGTAACTACAAAATGGGTATCTCTTCAAACTTGTGTAGTTTGGTTCTCTCTGATTGGTTGCCAAGCAATATCAAGGTTGCACAACTAGTGCTTGAGATATTCGAAAAGACTGGATGTGTTCCAAACTGATCTAAGAGTATGGTAAAGAAACTTATGTTGTAGGAGCTAAAAAGGAACCAAAAGAATGGTGAGTGTGTGTGTGGGGGGGAACTGGTATATAAGAGGAAAGCAGATGAAAGCAAGAATGCTAATTGCAGAATACACACACCTTAAATTGCAATATGAGTATCCCATGACAACACTGGCTTTAATTCAATGAGCTAGAACTTGTTTCTCATATTTCAAAGTGTGCTCAGGATTTAATGGCATTATACCAGATTTTTCAATAAACGCCCACAGATAAATAAGACTTTATTTATATAACCTAATGTATTTACAACTATTATCCCTCACAAATTTAACATTTAATTTAACTAAAAGACAGACATGTCTAAAATTCTATGCTGTGTACTATAATTCTATCCCGATATTGCATTAAAATAAAAGATTAATATTTAGACAAAAAGAATTTGTAACATTTCCAACATATTTTTGAGTGAGTTAGAGATTTTGACTTTTAAGAAGTATTGGTTCTTTCTTGATATTATTAACACATGCACTTGAAAGGCACCAACTGTAATGCAATATCTAGCAAGCTTATTTCACAGACTAATTCACTCATCAACGATGCTATGGTGGGGGCTTCACCTCCCCACTTTTTGCTGAAGTGATAACTATATAGACTAAATTTGTCTTCATAGACATATTGAACGGAGTTGTATCAGTTATCTCTAAATTCATTACTGCCATTAATTTTCAAAATAAATCAGAAAACAGTGTTTCATTCCTGGAAAATAAGTACAAGCAAAAAGAAAAAAAATGTGCATTTAAAAATCTAAAGAAAAACTTTTTATGAGAAGAATAGATAAAAAAAATAGAATCAATAATCTTTAAAAACTTCATATCTGATTTAGCACCCTCTCCACATTTTTTATTTTGTGACACCCTGAGTTAGATTTTCACAGGATGTCCCACATTCTGATCTTGCACAAGAATCGGCTCAATTGACCAAGAAATGAACTTGAATCTGTAAGCTAAGCAATCAACAAAGATGCACAAGTTGTAACACAATCTTTTTCTACTCACTGCAGCTCGTATATTTATGTATGAACAAAATCGGCATTACTATTATTATTGTTGCACAAAAAAATTTAATTCACAAACAACAAAAGCATTTACCAAAAGATATGATCACCCAAACTTCAGTGGTTTTTGTTTATCACTGGAAGTTTAATCACCTAAGAAGAAGCTCAAATTCTTGTAAAATCTGTAGTAATGGCACAGTACTCGTAAAGAATCATATTCATAGCGCAACAAATTTAAAGTTTTTTTTCTTCACCTTATTAACGGAGAACATAAAATTTAATATCGTAAGTTATGTCTTTGTGCATTCAATATGGGGAAAAGAACTTGTTTTGTAAGTACGTTATATTTATGGCGTGAATAAACTTGGAATATGTATTTACTCAGGTAGTTAAAGTGTGGAAGTTTTTATTTTCACCCTCTGAGGTTAAGGTCGGATGTTGGAAGAAGATAGAAATTATGAAAATTAAGAAAGCGTGAAATAAAATAAATATTTGACTGGTTAAACTTTTTATTCTCTCTTAATAATTGCATATTTAAAATTTTTGTGCTCATTGCGTTGTGAAAGTAAAAATAAAAGAAGTTTGCTAATCAAGAATATTATGTTTCTTTTTTGATACAAAGACGAAAAACTTCATAGGAGGTGAGTTCTTCAAACAAGTTACAAAATTGACCGTAGATATGCAAGTAAGTTGCCAGATTTTCTTAAAAAGGCGTTTAAATGTTTGACATGTGTCCACGTTTAAAGAAAAATCACAAACATCTACATTTTTCTGATTCTCTTAATTTAAAATTCTCTATTATTTTTTTTTTAATATTTCATTTTTGACCTTGAAACAACCTACTCTACCATTAGTAAAACTATGTTTAAAAAGTTTTAAATGAAATGGTTAGCATTACCTTACCATTAATAAATAATTACTAAATAAATACCTACTATAGTAAACTCTAATAATGAAGTAATAATAATCATTTTAGGAAGTTGTATTTTTTTTTTTTTTTTTTTTTTTATTACTTAGTTATTTGTCTTCCTCTTTTATGCTTTGTTTCTTTAAATAGGAAAGACGATTTTATTCAGGTAAAATCCGAGCCGAGAAAGGGGTGTGCTGGTAGTGTCACGTGACGAGCACCTACTTATAGCATCCTTCTCTCCCCTTTGTCTTCCTTGGTGGATCACTCGAATAGACCCTTCCCACCACGTGACCAACATACAGTAGATGTCAGTATGCCAGTTGACGCTATGGACGACTATGAGAGGCCTCCCCCTAGGATGGTGAGATTTCAAACTAAAACAATAATTTATTTCCACATTTACGTTATATTTATATCACTACTAATCCTCTTTTTTATGCACGGCTATCTATTTTTTTAAAACCATAGTTTACACTTTGATATTGGGGTGTGCGCGCATCACCGCTTTTTACAAAGAAAAAAAAGGGGGGTCTTTCTCTTTCTACCGGCTTTATTGAATAATTTATTATTTCTTTAAAATTTAAATACTCTTTTGTTATATATTAGATTTTTATTCGATCTTCATAATAAACATTTTATGCGGTTATCAATCTTATCGATTTAATAAAAAGATAATTCAATTTCGGGTTAGAAAATGAAAAATAAAATTTGATTTTTAGAAAAGAAAGTACTTTTTTTTCTTTTTAAATCTTAACGTGTGAAATTTTTATTCACTGTTGACTTTGTCTTACGTTGACAGTATTCATTTTTTTTTCTTTTTTATGGTAACACTACTTAGCTTTTTTTTTTTTTTTTTTTTTTTTTTGGACGTAGAATTACTTTAAAAATATTAATTTTATCGAGTTAAAATAAATATTGAGTTTATTTTTATCACCCCCCCAATTTATTATGAATTTATTCGTTTTGGGGCCATGACTTCCTTAGTGTCAGCTTTTGGGGGTTTCAAAACTAGGATATATGACTTGTGTGCCCGCAAATTGAAAAACTGCCTTTGCTGTGTGCGTGTGGAAAAATGCTTGAATTGTATTTATTCGCACTCACGTAAATAATACATATTTTATATATAAAATATATATATGTGTGTGTGTAATTTCAGATCATAGCAGTTTTGAAATACAACTTTGACAAATTATTTAAATATCTGAATATGTGTTTTTTTTTAAATAATTCTATTAGGAAAACTCGATTAACCTCAATTTGAATAACTTGTATTGTTCAGTGTGTATTAAGTAGATCTAGGTAAATTTACACTACAGTTCCGTTTATTGTTTCAACTATATCTTCAGAAATTTGATTTTTCTTTTTTTACACTTTATGAAATTAAAAACTTGGTGTTTAATATTCAAAGTATAAAGAAATAATAACTAATCATTTTTACTTTAAAGACAAATAGTGCTTCCGGTACTTGAAGTGAGTTTTCATTACATTATGTAACCAATTTAAATACCTTCATAAAGTAGGAAAAACCGTTTTTAAACTTATTTTCTATTTGCATATTTATTTTAATGGTGAAGAAAATATTTTATAATTAAATTACAGTTCTTTAATTGCTCGTGTGAAAATATAGTGCTTTAATTTTAGCAGAACGAGTTATTTTTGCTTAATGAAATAGGAATTTATAGAAATCCTAACCGACTCTTGAAAACAAAATGTAACAAAGAATGAGGACGATCATTTTTACTGCTGCATACAGGTTAGATCAGTTTTCAATATTACCGCCAGAACACCCTTTAAAACTGCATGTCTATGATAAATGCAATAAAAATACAACCACACCCAGTGAGCTCACAAAGTTATTCATATTTACTTTTATTTTTGGAATAAAAATGCTTATGAAAATACTTAGAAATAATTTTCACCACATGTGTCGAAGATGTCAAGAAAAAAAAATCAAGATGACTCATTTTTTTTGGATACGATCAACTTTCTTCAGTTTTTGCAGTCAGTGCTTGAATGCTTTTAAAAACATTGTTCCTTTCTAATTTTCACGGGTAGATTTTTAGATCAAAATTTTCTTTCAGCATTTAAAAAAAAATCTCTTTTCATATTTATCAGCTATATTAGCAATGATTTCAGTTATTTAGATTTTTTTAAACCGTAATCACCTTTTGTTTTTATACTTTCTCCTTATAGTTTTGAAATCACTAATTCAGTAAAAATTTAATTTTTAAAAATACATATATATATAACCTGATAGTTGACGACTCGTTTTATTAAAAAAAGAATAGATGGTTGGTAGTGGGGGGATAAGTAGGTCTTTTGTTTTTTTTTTTTTTTTCGTGCTTTCTTTTTTGCATTAAAATATCTTCTTTTTTTTTCTTTCTTTTTTGTCAATTTTATTTTTAAAAATCCAAATTAAAAACTGAAAATTTGAAACACCTGCCTCGTTTTCATTCTTGACGCTAACTTTGCAATTCCCCCTCTCCCTCTTTACACATATCTAATGTGTTGGCCGTCCTCATAATCATGCCGGAGGTAAGTCTCTTGCTGGCTCGCTACTGCATAGCCTTTACCGCAAGAGAATTTCTTCCGTCCCGTTTGTACATCTCTTGTATTTTCTTATAAGAGAATCAAATAAATTAAAATAAATATATATAAACTTACGTTTTTTTGTTTGTTTTTTTTTTAATGGTTTATTTAAGGCTGATCTCTCGTTTGTTGGGTATGGGGGCAATAGTTGCCGGCTTCGAAGCTAGATCTTCTTTCTCCTCGGCCATTGAAAAATGATAATCTTATCCAGCTGCATGCAACGAGTCTGTTGTTCCTCTTTTCCTCTTATGTCTGCTTGTCTGTTTCGGTTCTTCGTTTTTGGCTAATAAGCCGAGCCTTCGGATTCGCCATGTTGTCTTTGTTTTGATTTATCGCTCAGAACCTCATAAGATTTAAATGGCTGATCTATCATCGATCAATTATTAAACTTGATCTACTTTTATTTAACATTTTTCCTTTATCCCTATTGTTTTCATTTTTCTCTCTCCACTATTTTGTTTGAACATCTTAAAAATTTAAAGAATTGCTTCCAACCAACGATCGCTAATTTCTTTAATCTCTTCTGAACTGGACATTTAATAAAACAAAAACGAGTACATTCGGTCAGTTTCGTTTGTTGACCTCGTTTTTCCTTGAGCCTTATAAATTTAAAGAAAAGTTGCCAATTAGCAGTTATAATTTTTAATCATTATTAATTCATTACTTTTTTTTTGTAAATGATTTAAATTAAATTTAAAAAAAAAAAATAATTATTCAATAAAAATTATTTCTATATGTTCATATATAATTTTAAATCAATTTTTTTTGGTCATGTTGGCCAAGTTTTAAAAGATCTGGAAATTCAAACATCAAGAATTTTCTTTTTAGTTTCATTTTGTTTTTAATTACTGGATTTACTACCCTTCATAACGAAAAAAAAAACCTTCCATAGCTTTAATTTTTCTTGATTTTTAGTAATAGTTTTTCTTTGTCTTTTTTTTTTTTTTTTTTCTTCTAAGATCAAAGAATGATCTTCATATCGCGATATTCATCTAAGAATGATTATAACGCATAGGATTAGAGCTGCTAGTACTCAAGCAAGATTGAGGATTTAAGTTTTAAAATAACAGATCTTTCGAAGAATATACGCGATTTTTTCTTTTTAAGAAAAAGTAATGTCCTTATTTCTTTAAGGACATTTTAATTAGAAACTTTTACTCGCAGTCTTGAGTTTATTTCTTCAATTAAAAAAATTGATTGATAGGATTATGCTACGAAAAATTGTTCAGAATCGTTAATGAAACCTGAAAGTAATTTTAAAAGGCCTTAAAGAAAAGACGCAACGGAACTTCTGAAAAATGGTTTTAAAGATTAAGAAAAGTAATAGGAATACGAGCAACTGCTAAGTTATTGGTAAGCCAAAAGAAATATTAGTGAAAGAAATGTGCCTACTACTAAAAAGACAACAATTTTTCCTCTTCTGACTGCTACTCTGCAGCACCAAAATATTGATGCTACCTTTTAGCTTCCGTTTAAGCCTTAGACTAGTCTTCAGATTTTTATTTTTCGCTCTGATCGTGGATTTTTTAAAGCCTGATTTCTCTCTCTCTCTCTCTCTGATGATAGTCATAATTTCAGAAAATGACTAAATTTTTCAATTTAATTTTTTTTTATGGAAACTGATTATTATAAATATCGACTAAGAAAATTCTTTTTAAGAAATTATTTTTTTTTTTTTTTTTTTTTTTACTCTGAAAAAATATTGGACAATAAAGATGTCATTAATTTGCCTAGTAAGAAACTTGACATTTTATGACCTAAGAAGTATAAGTTTACCTGCGAAAATCGGCACTTAGTTCAAACGTGCATTTTATGCAGATTGCTCAGAGTTAGAAAAATCATAAAATTAATGGATGTTATACCTACCTAGGCTTTTTTTTTTTATTATTATTTAAATATTGCAAGAATTTATACTAGTTTTGACATGAGATGGTTTAGAATAAAGAATTTTTCTTTTCAGTACCCTAGACGAGGTCGGAAACATTTTGATGATGGGCCCGACTCTGAGAAATTCCGTAAACTTTTCATTGGTGGTCTAAGTTATGATACTAATGAAGAGAGTTTGAAGAAGCACTTCTCAAAATGGGGAGAGATTGTTGACTGTGTGGTCATGAGGGACCCCAAGACCAAATGGTAAATATTTATTTTATGCTATTTTGTTTTTCACTTAATTTGGATTTTTTTTTTTTTTTGTTATATATTTAAAGCAATTGTCAGGAAGGGAGTCTTATTTTTTTTTTTTTTTCATAAGCTTGTAAATTACAGTTAGAAGACTTTCATCTGACTTTAAACTAATTTTTGTTATTGTTTTTGTTTTTTTTTCTTGAAAAGGTCAAGAGGCTTTGGCTTTATTACTTACAAGAATGTAAGTGAAGTTGATGAAGCTCAAAAGCACAGGCCTCATGTTCTTGACAATCGTGAAGTTGAGACTAAAAGAGCCATGCCAAGAGATGTAAGTACATTTAATTTACAGTTTTATTTGTGATTGAATGATGGGTTAGTATACTTTGATTTCAGTGAAAGTGGAAATAGGTGTGATTACTTTTAACATTAAAATTAAATGAATGAGTTTCTTTATTGATTCTTGCTTTTCCATTTAGATTTTGTTTTATGATTTTAAAACTGAGATAAAATAAAATGGCACCGATATTCAGAACCTAAAATAGGTATTTCCACTGAAAAAAAAAGCATAGCATGATGAAAAAAGGCCCAAATTTAATAAAAGAAAAAGTTTGATCGTTGAAATGCTTGTTATTAATAAGAGGGAAGACCAATGTGTTTTTTGACTATTAAATTTTTCATCCATTCTAGAATGTTAAAAATTTTGATTAATTTTTTTTTAATTTTTTTTATTTTTTTTTTGTCAGCAGTCTACATAAAATTTACCATTAGTGTTTGAGTACCTTTTTTCAGGTGAAAGACACATTTTGGCTTGGAAATTCTTTCAAAAAAAAACAAGTGATTGTTGGGGTTTAATGAAACTCAGAACTTGTGCACAAAGGAATGGAATTATTTTACTCTGGCAAAGCAGTTTACTTTATTTTCTTTTTCCTTTTTATCCCCTTACCTTCTCTCTTTATTTTTTTTAAAATACATCTGTCCCCCCCCCCCCTACACACGCACATTTAATTTATGAAAACTTAAGAAATTCGACGGTATGCCTTTTAGTGATTATATCAGTTAAAACCAGACGACTTTGAAGAATATAAATCGTTATATTTATTATTGTTGTTATAGAAATACACAGCTACCCAAAATTCAGCTCTGGATTGTAACATACAAACCCCAATGAAATTAAGACATTATTTAATTATAAAAGCTTTTAATGGTTTTTATGAATAATATATGTTAAGGACAATATTGTCTGAAGCCAAAATATATTCTAATGAAAAAAGAATTTTTACAAGAATAGTTTTTTTTTTTTTTAATTTTAAATGTGTTAAATATTTTAAAATCGAGTTTCAATCCTTGCCCTTTAGGGAATGCTCCTAAGTAGATCTATTTTTACAGATCATAAATTTGAAAGCTTATTACAATCTGCACGGCATGTATTTTAAAAAGAATTTCACACTTTCATAAAAACGTTTTTCTAAATATATGGGTGGACATGCTTGACATAATGTAAAATGTTTAGAGTTGTTTCCCCTGATAACAAGAAAATTTTGCGTTTTTGTTCTGCAGTTGCATATTGTATTCTTTGACTGGCTGACTCTTAAGTACCAAAAAAAAAATAAATCAATAAAATATTAGATTTTTGAAAGGATTTAATTTTATTTTTCCAGAAATCCTCTTCAAACGTAAGGTTAAAGTATTTAAAAAAAAAAATAAATCCTCTTCAAACGTAAGGTTGAAGTATTTAAAAAAAAAAAAAAAAATAATCAATAAAATATTAAACTTTTGAAATTATTTAAATATGAAAAATTACTGTATAGTTAAATAAGCTGGTTCACTTAAAATTCGAAAATATTTTCACTTCTGTCATGACTTCCTGATGTAAGCTGTCAATACATCGACGTAAATGTCAATTCACACCTAAAATAAGTTGCCACGGTTAGACATGCTTCTCTTATTTTCAACTAAATTTTTTCTGCTAAAAATATGTTTCCAATTACATCAAATAAACTTTAAATTTTCTGATTTTCCTTGAATAACTTGAAAATTGATTTTTAAAAGATTTTTCAAAGATCATTTTATTTACAATTATTGTCATGACAATAGCAAGTGCATTATTTAAACAAATTAGTTATAAATAATCAACAGTGCCTTTTTATAGCCATCTCTCATTTATTTTGCCAACTAAGATTGTTTTTACATTTACATAAGTAGTAAAGTAATTGTTATAAGTAATATGGTTAATCAAAATAAATGCTCCATAATTTGTTTTAAAAAAAAAATGATAATCTTCGTATTTTTTTTTCCTTTTTGTATTTACATTTAAAAAGTAAATTTATTTTTTATTTACAGGATGCTGAATCTCAAGCAACTGTAAAGAAAATGTTTGTGGGTGGTCTCAAGGAAGACACTACAGATGAACAGTTGAGAGAGTTATTTGAGCCTCATGGCAAAATTTCTACCATTGACTTGATTAGTGACAAGGCCACTGGAAAGAAGAGGGGATTTGGTTTCATTTCATTTGAAGATTATGATACCGTGGATAAACTAGTATGTAAGTAATCAGTGCTGTTTAGATTATCAATTGCATTCTTTGTTGTTTTACAACATTTTAGCCAATCCTTTCCACAACTGCCTTCAAGTATTCAGTGATTCAATTAATCTCCCTAAAGATAGAATATTTTATATTATGCATTTTACTGAATAACTTTTTGGGGCAAAATTGAAAATAAAATATTTTTTTATTTTAGTGAAAAAATACATGAATTTGAATGGTAAACAAATTGAAGTGAAGAAAGCCTTGTCCCGCTCTGAAATCAATAACAGTAGAATGGGTGGTCCTGGATTTGGTAAGACTTTTTGCATATTTTTTTCTTTATTGAGCTGAGATTTTAAATTAAAGTCCAATGTTAATCATTCTCTTAGAATATTTCACTCGCATCTTTTTATCAGCTTAAAAATATTTCCAAATTACATGGATTGTGTGTATGTCACAACACTATGCTACTTTAGTGTACATTAACAAGTATTGTAACTTCAAAATCTTCCAGGTCCTAGAGGTGGCCGTGGAGGCATGGGTGGCAGAGGTGGTGATGGCCCTGGTATGGGTGGTGGTATGGGTGGTGGAAGAGGTAAGTAATTTTATATACACATTTTCTTCTTTAATAAATATTTTGCACTTTAGAAATAATTTGCTTAAAGGCAAGTATATTGATAATTTCATATTTTATAATTGACATAAGCAAACCTTCCAGTGATTAATTTGTTAATGTGTTTGGTGTGCGATCTGGTAATAAAAATATTCAATGTATGAATAATTATTGCAACTTTCAAATATTGATATTCTGATATCATTACATTTTTAACAATTGCTTCATTCTTAAATTTTGGTGCTGAGAATCTTGTAAATGGCATAAAGTAATTCATTCAGTTGCAACCCCCTCTTTTTTTTCTGAATCCAGGAAATATTCATTTAAAAACTGAATTTTGAAAGTTTGCAAAAACCATTTTTTTTATAAATTCCTTTTATGATTTTGGATAGCAGAAGGCACAATGAAATAGGAACTAATTTAATATAAAAGTTTTTGAGACATTTCTGAAATTGTACCTATTTTGTACTTATCTGCAAAGAACTGGAATGTTCACTGTTGGTGTCATTTTGTAATAAGTAATTTCTGAGAAAAGTTGCTTTAATTATATGAATTTCATTGTTATTACATAAAATGATCTCTTGTATTCTGTTTCTGTTATCGGGAGACAAAGATGGTTTGAAATGTTAAAATTGTTTGGCAAAGCAGTTTATTTTATTTTACCCCCTTACCTCCTTTTTTTTTTTTTTTTTTTTTTTCATATACTAACATCTGTTGATCTGGGTATTTAGTAGAAAATGTACAGGTTTTTATGGTTGCTGCTCCTCCTCCTATCCCTATGCTGCTAATATGATTGGTATTCAATTAAAATTGTTAGTTTTTAAAAAATGATTTCTATTTATAGAGGATATGGATCTTACAATTTAGCTTCCCAATGACTGACCTCTCAACATAATTTCCATTCCAAAATATTATTCAGAGTAATTTAGTTATAAATGAATTATTTAAAAGTCAATGAAAAGTCTGGTCGGCTTTATTACTTACAGGAGGCCCTGATGGTGACTGGTCACCAGGTTTTGGCGGTGGATATGGAGGTGGAGGTGGTAACTTTGGTCCTGGCGGTGGATATGGAGGAGGTATGAAATATTTCTATCTCCCTTCATCTTTCAAGATATCAGTGACAAGCTTTGCTCTTTATCCTTACAAGCTTTAGTTTAAAAAATCTATTTGTTAAATCTGACTGCAGAGCATAACAGCATTCAACCCTTTAGAATAAAACTTAAAGCAATAGCAGGGGTACTTGACAAAGATATTGTAATTTTTAAATTCTTTTTAACAAGGCTATATTAAATGTTAAATTTTTCTTTAGTTGAATGTTTTTATTTTATTTTATTTTTTTTTTTTTTTTTTTTTTAGTTTTTCTATAATCAAATTGCGATGCAGTCATTGTGATTCAAGATGTGTTCTTGTCTCTCTTTACTGATTTCTTCTCCTTTAGGCCCTTTTAATTTAAATATTCATTCTGGATATATAGTATACCAAGCAGTCATTTTTGACTATTGAGTTTTATGAATTCTGCAGGCCCGTCTCGAGGAAGTGGTGGCGGTGGAAACTGGGGTGGTCCACCTGGTTAGTATTTCCCTTATTCCCTTTCCTCTTTTCAACCATGAAAAAATTTTCTAAAAACTCACAAAATAATTCCTGTTCCTCCCCCACAAAAAATATTTAAAGTGTATTTGCCAAAGAACATTGAATTTTTACTTTCACTAAAGTATCTATTATTTTAACTTATCTAAGCCTTCTCTCTCTAAGCCTCATGTAATAATGCTGTTAGTTTCTGATAAGTTTGAGTTTTCTACACCTACAATGAGTGTCACATTAAATTGGGAATGGTTTAAATTAGCATATTGAGCCCCTTAAATTGAACAAGGGTGCACTTTCTTAAAATATAATACAAATATGGCTCTTTCTATATTTGTAGTTTTAGGGTTGATATGTTTTTTTTTGTTTTTTTTGTTTGTTTTTGCGTATTTAGAGGAGATTTCTTTGATGGTTCTCCCAAGGAATTTTCACCAATTGCTCTGACCTATTCCTGTTTTTGCTCTAAAATTCTTTATTCATGTTTTAATGTGTATTTATTGTATACAGTTCTTCCTGATTTTTTTCGTACAAGATCTTTTTACTTTTTTATCCTATGTTCCAGGAAACTTTGGAGGAGGTGGAGGTGGCTATGGAGGCGGTGGTGGCGGTGGCCCTGGTGGCTATGGAGGCGGTGGCCCAGGTGGCTATGGAGGAGGTGGCGGCGGCGGCCCAGGTGGCCCTGGTGGCTATGGAGGTGGTGGTGGTGGTGGCCCTGGTGGCTACGGAGGTGGTGGTGGTGGTGGCCCAGGTGGCTATGGAGGTGGTGGTGGTGGTCCTGGCGGCTACGGGGGAGGTGGTGGCGGCTATGGAGGTGGCGGTGGTGGCCAAGGTGGCTGGAGGAGGCGGTGGTGGCCAAGGTGGCTATGGAGGAGGTGGTGGCAGTGGTCAAGGTGGTGGTGGCTATGGTGGCGGCTATGGTGGTGGCCCAGGTGGCGGAAGTGGTGGCGGTGGCTGTGGAGGTGGCGGCTATGGCGGTGGTGGAAGCGGAGGTGGCGGCTATGGCGGTGGCGAGCGGAGTGGCAACCTATGGCGGTGGCGGAGCGGAGGTGGCGGCTATGGCGGTGGAGGAAGCGGAGGCGGCGGCTATGGCGGTGGAGGAAGCGGAGGCGGCGGCTACGGTGGTGGTGGTGGAGGAAGCGGAGGTGGTGGCTATGGAGGTGGAGGAAGTGGTGGTAGCGGAGGCTATGGTGGGAGTGGAGGTGGCTACGGCGGCTCAGGTGGAGTGTGGCTATGGCGGTGGTGGTGGCGGCTCTGGAGGAGGTGGCTATGGCGGCGGCGGCTCTGGAGGTGGTGGTGGTGGCTACGGTGGTAGTGGAGGTGGCGGGAGTGGTAACAGTGGCTATGGAATGGGAGGTGGTGGAGGTGGAGGTAGTGGTAGTGGAGGTGGCTATGGCAGCTCACATGGCAATGACTTCCAAGATGGATTTGGAGGTGGCAGCAGTGGCGGAGGTGGTGGAGGTGGAAGTGGTAAGTATCTGCCATTCTTTTAAAAAATTCAAAGTTTTTAATATTAATTTAGAAGCACATTAAAAAAAATTCACAAAACTGAAATAAAATGATAAACTAAGATACTCAATGCTAACACATTAACTTTTAAAATTCTTTCAATTTGTGAATATTTCATTCATGATGGATTACAAGAAAAGGTACATTTAAATTGCTTTTGAATTTTTATTCTAGGCGGTGGTAGCTGGCGAGGCAGCAACAGCTACGGTAACAGCTATGGAGGTGGCCCTATTAAAGGCAGTGGTTCTGGTGGTGGTGGTAGCTACTCCCAAAGAGGATCTGGACCTTATGGAAGTAATTATATATATTATACATACTTATCTATTTGTGTGTGTGTGCATGTAATTATTTTGTTTCTTAAGGGCTATTTAATTCAGTATTGAGTAACTCAAATTAATGGCATTTGATGATTACATGTATATGATTACTACACTTCTAGTTCAAACCTAATGTGGTAAGACACAGGGTTGAGTAAGGTAACAAAATTACAGAAATAAGTCTAAACTCAACTCATTAACCTACAGAAGCAAAACCAAGAAAAATAACAATACATAATGAAAATTATTCTGAATCAAATGATTACAACTTTAAGTACTTAAGAGACAATACAGGAAGTTTTAATTCAACAATAATATTATGGCTAGTGTATAATTTAAACAAAGAATGTCTTAATCAAGAATAATATAAGGATTTTAAAAATTCTCAAAACATTTGAAAAAGGAATTTAAAATGTTAAAATTAGTGAGAACAGTTTTTCTTTACTTTTCTCAAGGTATAATAATGATTTTGTGTACCTTGTTAGGAAAAATGGAACATAAGTAAACAGTTTAGGCATCCAAGTAAATTTTTTAGGAAAACACATAATATTGATCATAAATTTATATCATTTATTTTAACAGGTGGTTATGGTAGCAGCGGTGGTGGCGGCGGCGGCGGTTATGGAGGTGGCGGCGGAGGAGGTAGTGGCGGAGGAGGAGGAGGCGGTGGCTACGGAGGTGGTGGCAGTGGCGGCGGAGGAGGAGGCAGTTACAGGCGATAATAGTGCCTAATGGGAAGCAGCTCAACATTCAGGTATTTAACCATTTTCCATAATTCTGGCTCCACCCAGGTGGAAATATGTGTGAGAACGTGTGTGTGTGTGTGTGTGCGTGCATTTACCAATAATTTTATAAAAACAAACTAGGTAATAAAATTTATTCTACTTGTATGACAAAAAAAAAGTATAAAAGAATATTTATATATTGGTATTTGTAAATGCTTAATCCTCTGTTAGGATTTTATAGGGTTTTGATACATTGAACATTTTCAGAGGAATTATTCTCAATTTCTAAAGGATTCTTATTTCTTCCACAAATAATCTAAAATTCATAGTAGTTTTGACCTTAAAACACTTCAGAAAAAATAAAGTTAACTTCTTTACCGCTCAGTTTATTTTTTAGACTTTAAATTTAAATTTAGTCCGGAGTTTAGTTAGATGGTAGTGTGAAAATTTACTTGCTTTTCTCTTTTCACTCCATCCAGTTAGTAGAGTTAGAAATGTTAACTTATAAAATGTTGGATAAGTGTGAATTTTTATACATGTCATTATAGTAGATAGTGTGTAGTTTTCCAGAGTTGCTCTATTTTTAAATGCTTATACCCACTATTAATCTGTTTTATTTGATATGTTTAGGCAGGCTTTACAGTGCTGAAAACGGAGGCAGCTAGCTTGAATTGTACTTAGTGTTACCATGGAGACAGGCAAGAGGCACTATAGTGTTACTGAGGAGACACAGGAGGCAGGATTGTACTTAGTATTACCAAGGAGATGGGCAGCAGGAGCCTTGTTGCTCCCAGCAGTGAGCACTGTTAAACTACATAGCAGGCATTGGTTGATCAACATTCCACATCATTCTATGGCATCCATACTCAGTTCATGGTAGAGGCTAAGGATCCCAACCAGCTTTAGGATTGTCTTCACATCACTTGACAGACAGCATGAGATTTTGATCAACTTGTTCACTCATCATTGGGCACAACATGGGGTTAGAATGGAACATTGATCCAATTAGATTGAAACAAATAAGCACATTCGCAGATAACCGATAGTGGTTGTGCACTTGTATACAAGTGCATGCAATGGGCCTTAAATTGTTAGTTTATAGATGCAGTAATTTTTCAATTGATTAAAGGAAATCATTGGACTTTTTTATATATATATTTATTAATGGATAGATTTAAATGTATGAAGCATAATTTGATTTAAAGAGATTTATTTCTTCAGTTAAAACATCTTGTTTTTTATAGTTAGCTATTAAGAAAATTAATTTAAAAAAACAACAAAAAAAAAAAACAAAGGCTTAAAATAGTCACCATGCTGTATTCCTTGGTATTAATAGGTAGACAAGGTTTCCCTCCCCTGGTCAAAATGTTGGATTAGAATGTGCTCATCACTTAGGTAATAGGGAAACTGGTATTCGAGGGTTTCTAAATGATTCTTGTGTTGGACACTTGTGCTTGATGTCGATGGTGTGTTTGATTTGGACTGTGGCTGCTGTAACCACCCACAGCACTAGGACCTACAATACAAAGAAGGGTGCTAGATTTAGTGCAAGGACTATTTATGCCAGAACTGTGCCAGCCTCGTTGAATGTTGAGCTGAGCTGGGGGCCACAAACAGCAAACAATGGACTTGTTTTTCTCTTCCTTTTATTTTTTTCTTTCTTTCCCACCTAACTGTTGTGTTCTTCATTCCTTTTAGAATATGTGATGAGCCAATTGTCATTTGTAAAGACTCCATGTTTGTGAATCATCATTTTAAAAAAAAAAAAAAAAAAAAAAAAAAAAAGAAAATGAAAATGAACAAAAACCAATCTAGGTTCCAGTCTTTCACTGCTTTAATACAGCCTCTCATTCTGCAGGTTCTGTGGACAGTGTCAGTAGTTATATTCTGCCAGAAAAGCAGAATGTCTATACATCAAATATAATGGACATTTTCAATGAATTTCTAAAGCTGTTTCTTAATAACCAACCATTATGTCATAGCTGAATAATTTGCCTTTCTAGTCAGTTTCTTACCAAGCTACTGTCATTTTTATCACTCTTTCATGTAAAAGGATCAAAGTAAACACTTGCATGTATATTGTTCTTAGAAGAAAAAAAAAGCAAACTTGTTTCTTTTGTTTCTGTTGTTTGTTTTTTTTTTCCACTTTTTTCTTTTTCTTTTTTTTTTAAATAAAGTGTTAAAATACATAGGTCTTGAGAATGTGTTCTTTCTGTCTGAAGTATCATGTCTTTATGAAAATAAAGATTTGGAAAAGACATCCAGGACAAATTAAATTTTGGAATGGAATGTTCATTCTTGTAATACTAACCATTCTTGAAGAAGGATTCCCAGAATCCATTTGGCGCCATTTGCTGATCTCATTCCAAAAGAGTCACAGCATTGCGTTTTCTCTTCCTCTTGTCAAGGTTATGATCTGTAAATGTTTTTGGACATCTTTGGAAATCTGAAGAAAAGTATTGTGTTTTGCAGTTGGAATTTTTATCTTAAAATTGTAAAAAGCTGTTCTTCTTTATTACTGTGAGAGGATGTATAAAATCTCTGGCAGTAAAAAAAAAAAAAAAATTTCTCCTTCATTCTTGTTTTTGCTCCTGTATATAAATGTGATATTCAAGGTCTTTATAAGGTTATTTTCTTAAAATAGTCCATCAGGAATTTGAATAACAATTTCCAAGATTAGTGCTTAATTTAAATTTTTTTCCTCTAAGGGGATCATCTATAGTCAACAATATCAATATATACAATGTAAACTATAAAACTTTTTCTGGCTAATCATTTTAAGAGCAAAATTATCAAACTTGCCTAATTAGAATTATATTCAGAATAGTTGATAAATATTGAATTAAATTGTAAATGTGCTTTTTCATTGATTACAATCAAAATTATTTACTGGCTTTTAGACGCGTTTCTATCTAGATATTTCTTTTGCACAGTTTAGCTGGTTATTAGTTCAATATTGTCATCAATCTGAAATGAAATGAAAATTGGTTCTATCAGAAAATATTTAAATAAAATGCAGTTATATAGTTGAATGATATCTGAAAAAAATTTTCTCTAATGGATAGTGCTCTACTCTTAAAGCTTATTTGTTTTACAGATTAGTTTTTCTTAGAACTTTGTGCTTTTTAGATTTTTCACCCCCCCAAAAGAAAAAATTGTCTCAAGTTTTTTTTTTTTTGTTTAGATTTGATTTTGATGTTTTTATATATATATAATTATTTCTACTTAGTGTATTTATGGTTTTATCTTTTACTATAAACAACTAATTTTAATTTATTTATCGGAAAAGGACTTTGTATTATTTGGAACATTTTGATTTTTTTTTTTTTTTTTTTGTTTTGTTTTTTAATGCAGTCTTATTTTTGAGAAGAAAATGCTTACTGCTGTCCATAAGAGTAGAATTTGTATATCATTTTTCTGTATAATTTGAATGAAGTTTTTATATTTGATTTACAAAAAAATACCTTTAGAATAAAATACATTAAGGGAGAAAAGAAAAACAAATTTGATGTCCATAAACAATTTTTTAAATGTATAAAGCTAAATTTTGGAAAGAGAAAAGAAAAAAAAAAAACTTGAAAAGTATTTCATGTTTCTGCTCTTCCTCCTTCAAGTTGGTTTGATTGTTACATTTGCAGAAGACATGAGAGGAATTTTATCTCTTCCAAAATCAGTGGTCAATATTTGTTTTTATTTCTCAGTAAGAGTGCCATTCAAGAGTAGGTGAACAAAGCCACATTTCTACTTTCTCTTGCTGCTGTTGTCTACCAATCTTCATTTCCAAGTGTATATACAGGCTTAGCAATGCGAATTGTTGCTGGCTTTTACTTATATGGCAGCATTCTACAAATGAAAGGACTCCATGTGAATTAATCTACAGTTTGGTGTGTTCACAGCGTCAAAGGAACATGACAGACATTCCAGCTACATTGCTCAACAAAGTAGCAATTAACACCTTCTTCGTTGTGACTTTTCTCATCCCTTCTCTTTTTTTTTTTTTTTTTTTTTTTTTAATACCCCATCAAACGAGCATCACTGAGTGTACTTTATTACCTGAAAAGTTTAAGAAAAAAAAAAAAGAAAATAAAAAAAAAATTTTAAAAAATAATTAAAAAATCCATAAAATGAACTGTTTTCATCCAGGAATAAAAGCCTTAAAGATATATTAGATTTTGCCCAAAATATTCTTTGTCTGGGCACAATGGGTGTGAACCAAAATTTTAGTGATAGACTAATGTGAGTGTCTGTGCATGTGTGAAAAAATTGGTAATATTGAAAATCTTTTCTCCTTAATTTTTAAAAAATGAACAACCTTTATTAATATAGAAACTGTCTTGTAATTAGAATGCCTTAAAATTTTGAATGTATAGGGACTTAAATTTGATCTAAGATGCTTCAGTGCATACCTTACATTTGTACTATGTCCTAACCATTTGTATTTATCAAATTCTTTGGATAGTGTTATCATTCTTGGAAATTAAAGGCAAAATTTTTCATTCTACATTCAATGAATGTATCATTCTGCATAGTCTTTATTGATCATAATTTCTATTATTTGTATAAAATGCGTTCTTAAATGTCAAGATCTCTAAAGCCTGTAGATAATTATGTTGGCTATAAAAAGATATTTATTGTCCTGATTGCATTCAAGCATTTAGTCTTTGGTATTTATCTGTGTGAGTGTGTAGTTAGCATTTTTGTATAAAACAAGACTGAAGTTAAGCCACGCCTCGTCTACAAGATATCCTTCCACAACCACAGAAGAGTGAATGGCAGTGTCTAGTTAGTTTCTTCCCTGGCACAGAATATGGGGACATATAACACTTCTGCTGACAGATAGCTTAAAAGTATCAACTCCCAGCCATGGAAAAGACAGCTTTAAGAGCAGGTAAGATAGGATTTGAGTAAATTTTAACCTTAGAGTAGAGATATGAACAAAACTCTTCTCTTATAAATCTCTTCTGTTTTTTTTTTTTTTTTTTTTTCCTTTCATTTACTTTTTTTTTTTTTTTTTCTTTTCTTTAGAAAGTATAAAACCGATTTTGTTGTGTAGGGATATTTTGTCAATTGTGGGTTTTTTTTTTTTTTTTTTTTTTTTTTTGGCTACTTGCAGTGTTGAAAGCTTTTCTTTCATCTTTAAATTGGAATATTTTATCTGAAAACTACCGTGCATTCATTCATTTATTTTCAACATTAAGATGTAAATACTGCCATAAGGTTGAAAAGCTAAACCAACATTACACTGCAATTGGTCCAGTAGACAATTTTTGTTCTGTTTTTGTGAACATTTTTTTTTTTTTTTTTTCTTAGGTTCTTGAACTTTGATAAATGTAAGTTAATTAGATAAAATTGTTAATTTGAAATATAAATTTCATAGCCACACAGTTAGGGAAGCATGCTCTGTGAAGGTCTCGTAAGATTTATTTGATACTGATAAGAACAGGTTGGATCAGGATTGATTTTTTTTTTTTCTTTTTTTAAATATTACAAACACACATATACACAATCAATCAATATATATATATATATATATATATATATACATATATATATATACACACAATCAATTTTATACTTAAGATATTTGTATTGGTTATTTTTTTTTTGTCTTGTTTTGAAAATGTAATCACATTGATAAAGATGACTTTCCATGTGTTAATATTTG